TCTAATAAGTAATTCCTAAATTAAGACATGAGGGATGAATAGGGGGGAATGAGACAGGGGAAAAGAGTTTATTGCGCTGAAGAATAACTACTACTTATAGAAACAGTATGTAGTTCCTAAGTGTTAAATCTTGTATGTTTTGAGAAAGTTGGAGCAGCTTTTATGAATTTTTAGTTGTGATTCTTGTGACCATGCTTTTGTTACTGAGCAGTGTTATAGAAAAATTTTTCCGGTAAAAAAATAATAATTTTAGGCCCTCTTTATAGTTAGCTGGCAATGAACTTTCCATAGTTGTAAATATCCTGATATTCTGCCACTGTAGTTTTAGTGACTATGATGTAGGTCTCTGGATGATGTTAGTACTTGAATAATTTCATGCATCTAGAAGTTGGGCTGGTATATATAAATTAAATAAAACCCATTTAGGACTTTGTAGTAAAATTCTTGGGCAATAAAGACTTTGGATATGTGGCAGGCAGTACCAACTCAGGAATTACTGCTCATTGTCTGGCCACCTTTAGTAGTATTTTATAAAATATAAAGGAAAGTCTTTGTAATGAGAAGATTGACAATAGCTCTACTATATTAATGTTGTATTGATTTAGGAGGGGAATCCAGGTCACCTAATCAAATCACATGAAATAACTTCAAAAGTCCACCCTTCTCTCCAAAGGCTTTTGATTTGTTAAAGTGAAGTATTTAAAAATATTTAATACAGCAGCAAAAAGCATCTCCCACCTCCCCTCCCCCCCATGCAGTGTGACCCTTCAGATACATTTACCAAGTCTTTCCTTTTTTCATTTTGAAAAAGGGTGATTACTTCATACTTCTCGTGCTTTGCCACTCTGATAATGAGAATTCAAGATTATACTACTTCATATTCTAGAGCATGTGAGCTTTTGTTGAGGAGTGACATGACACATAGAAGAGTAAATGGGTACCTTTTCATGTGATGTAATTTGAAGACCAGGAAAAAAAAGTGGCTGGTCTGTTGGATTCCAGTTATGTGAAATGTTGTTTGAGTTTCTTATATCCTTATCACATGTTTTGGTCTCCCTCCCCTCCCATTTCTTAAACATTGTTGTTAGTTGCCCTTGAGTTGGTTCCGACTCATGGTGGCTCCATGTGCGATAGAACAAAACTCTGCCTGGTTCTGTGTCTTTTCCATGATTGATGGCATGCTTGGGTCCATTTTTGCCTTCTGACTGGGGTGGGGGAGGTCATCTTCCAGTATGATATCGAACAATATTCTTTGGTGATCTGTGGGATTGTCGTTGGCTAATTTTTGGAAGTAGATTGCCAGGCCTTTCTTCCTAGCTTGTCTTAGTCTGGAAGCTCTTCTGAAACCTATTCAGCGTCACAGCAACATGCAACATCAAAACAGACCAGTGGTGGCTGTGTTTGAAATGCATTGGCTAGGAATGGAACCAGGTCTCCCACGTGGAATGCAAAAATTCTACCACTGAACCACCACTGCCCTGGTGTCTTATATAACCACGTGAAAATGACCAAAGTTAGGAAGTGTAACACCTATACAATACTATTATCTAATCTACAGTCCTTATTCAATTACTGTCAGTTCTTCGGGACCCAGTCCAGAATCACTCTTTGTTTTTAGCTGTCATGTCTCTTTATTCTCCTTTAGTCTGGAACAATTCTTTAGCCTTTTTGTGTGTGTGTGTCTTGACTTTGGCATTGTTAAACTCTACAGGCCAGTTATTTTGTAGAATGTCCCTCTATTTGGTTGTCTGATGTTTCCTTATGATTACGTTCAGGTTGTACGTTTGTGGCAGGAAGACCATCAAAGTGATGTTGTGTCCTTTTCAGTGCTTTGTATTATGAGGCACATGATGTTGGTTTGTCCCAATATTGGTGATGCTAACTTTTGTCACTTGATTAAGGTGATGCTTTAAAGTTACTATTTTTCCCTTTATAATTAATAAGTAATTTGGGGAGAGATGCTTTAAGACTTTGTTTATATCCTGCACCTCATCAAATGCTTGCTCACTCGTTTTAGTATCCGTTGATGATTTTCTAACTCCCATCATTCCTTTTATATTAGTTGGCACCTTAACCTTCCTTTATTCCGCATGTAATAATTAATTAAGACTTAAGAAACATTTAATCAGTTAATTGTTAACTATAGCATTACAGACTCATAGATTCTTATTTTACTGAGTGGGTTATAATCCATAACTATTATTTATTTTGATGTTTTAATTATCCCACATTTGGTTAGTGAGAGCCCTGTAAGTTGGTTCCTATGTCCTTTTGATAAAAAAAAAACCATTATATTTGAGCACTTCTTTACTTTCCAGCACAAGATATTCCAGAATCATCTTGTATTTTCCCTGCCCTAGCCTTGGAATCAACCATTTCCTCAAGGAACCTTGGTTGCTTTTAGTGAGAATGTTAAATAGAAACCAAGATCTGGTGATAGTTGTATTCATTGTTATCAGTGTGCTCATTACTTCTAGCCTTCCTTAGTGGACTGAACTAGGAAATACACATATGTACATACACATACATATGTATGCACACCTGTATTTGTCTGTATATTTATTTCTGTTCTTTCCATCTCCATCTATCTAGAACCACACGTTTGTACCAATATCTCCAATTTCAGTTCAACTGAACTTTCAGTCCATTTATAACTCCCTTCTCCAGTAATAAAAAACCTGGCTTCCATTATCCTCAAATTATTTTCTCATTTACTCATGCTTAGAATACACAGAAAGTAGTTTTAGAGTTTCTAATGCATACCATTGCACAAACCTACACGCTAGAGTTAAATATGTATTTACAGGTGTTTTAAAAGTAAAAGTTATGTACACTGAAATGCATAGCTGTTAAGTGTAAAATTTGCTAAGTTTTGACAAATGCATACATCACTTACTGTCTGATTGTCTTGATCACTATTAAGATAATATTTTCCATCATTCCAGGAAGTTCCTTTGTGCTCTTTTCCAGTCAACCTCTGCCCCTAACGTTTTTTTTTCACTGTAGATTAGTTTTGTGTTTTATAGAAGTTTATTTAAATGTAATCATCATATATACATATATATTTATTCCATTTTAAATTCTCTCCTTGGCTTTTTAGCTGTGTATCTCTTTGCATTAAATTTTTAGTCATTGCTCTAGAGTTTATAATATATGTTCTTAACTCATCACAGTCTAGTTAGTTAGTATTGTACCACTTCATGTAAAATGTAAGAACCTTGCAACAGTATAGTTCCAGTTACCCACCTATTGTCATTTGTGCTGTTGCTTTCATATATGTTATCTCTGTATGTTATAAACCCCTCTATACAGTTAGAATTTTTGCTTTAAATAGTCATATGTCATATAAAGAAAGTATGAGAAGAAAAAAAATCTATTGTTTTATATTTACTCACATGTTTACCATTGCCAAGGCTCTTTATTCCTTCTTGTAGATCCAGCTTTCTGTCTGGTGTCATTTCCTTTCATCCTGAAGAACTTCTTGTAGTTCAAAACTGCATGGCTATTCCTAGACCTTAATGTTCATCTTCATATTTGAATGAAATTCTGCCGCTATATAGCAGGGCTGCTAAAAAATTATGGTGGGATAGAGACTGTATGTCACATAAAATGGAATTCTGTTGATCTTAAATTGAAAGTCTTGGATGGCTGGAATTTAGTTTTTTAGGATCCAGTATAAAACGGATTACATTAATGTGCTTACTGTTATCATTGTGCTGTTTATTGATCTTCCAGTGTCCTCAGACACCCGTATCAGTTAATTGAACATTCTTTCACTCATTCAGCACATACTTACTAAGCACACACCAGATAACTTTTCAAGCTTTGGGAACCTAGCGGTAAATAATTCAGGTAATGTTCTTACTCTGTCAGATCTTTTATTTTAGTGGAATGAAATCAGACAATAAAAATATCAACACATAAATGGAAAAGATAAATCAGTGGTAAGTGCTGTGAAACTGGAAGTCACCCATGCCTCCTCCCCGCAAAACGTCAACAACCAAATCCACAAAAATACACACAAATAACAAGCTTCAGTGTCCCCTAAAAGAAAAACAGACGCTATGCTGTCCTCCTTCAGTCAGGAAAAGAACTGCCAAAAGCCAAGAACAGTTACCTTATATGAGGATCCTTTGATTTACTGATTTATATATATGGAAACTGCGAATTTAATAAGATTATCTGTTTATATTTAGCAATGAAAGCACTAACGTTTCATATAGGGGAAATAAGTAAAAGTGAGTAATTGATGCACTGTAGTTCATTTTTATTGGTGTTATTAAAGCCCCATAACATGTTGACTTTTCAGAGAGTGTTTTAACTATCTAGATGATTCTCTTAATGAAAAATAATCTTTCAAATCTTAAAACTGACCTGGTGATTCTTAACTTAAAATACTTCAGTAGCCTCACATCTTGTACACTGGCTCCTTGGCAAGGCATATAAGATTCTTCAGTTTAGTCCTTTCTACCTCTTTCCAGCTTGTATACAGAGTTTCCTTTGCCGGGAATTCCTTATTTTAATCTGATGAAATCCTGCTTGTCACAGCCTCTGTGATATTGTCCCCATTTCTGTGCTACTCTGTAACCTTTTGCATAATTCTGTTATTTAACTTTTCATGAAACAATGCAATTATTTGAATAGAGGTTTAAATTCAGTAATAAGTTGGAGGCTCTCTGAGGGCAGTGTCTACCTGTTGGCTCTTAATAATCGTGGAGTATGTGTTGAATATGAGTGGCTTACCATATGAAACCATATCAGTTAAAGATTGGAATATATACACTCTTTCTAATGACTATAATAAATAAGCAGAGACGTTCAACAGTACCATTATTATTCCCTTTGTGTTAATTGGAATATCTTCTTGGTTCACTTAAGTTTACAATTTAATATATAGATGAGGTCTTTTGGTTTTTATAAAGAAGTGATTTACAGTCTAATTGAAATAACTGTAAACAAGTTAGAGTCTTTCTAAATTATCTTTTCATTTCTGTTAACAGAATCCAACGTGGCGGAGTCTCGATTTTGGAATAATGCCAGACCGTCTTGATACGTCTGTGTCTTGTTTCGTGGTGAGGATATGGGGTGGAAAGGAGGACGTCTACCAGCTGTTGATTGAATGGAAAGTCTGTTTGGATGGGCTGAAATACTTGGGTCAGCAGGTAATTTTTAGACTGGGGTTTACAAGTAGTTGTTGTGTCCAAATTAACCTATCTAACCTTTCTGTTGATTCTTCTGACTACATTTCCTATCATAAAGAGAGAACCTTTCTGATTGTTAACTTAGTTATAAAAATTGGAGTCGTCAGCAAGTTTAAAAAATACCGTTAACTGAAGAAACTCATGACACCCTAAGATGCTAATAATTTAAGAGGATCTCCCCCCCACCCCCTGCCTCCGGTAGGAAAGGATATGCTTTCTCATAGCATTCTGCTGCTTCTCTGTCCTACTGTATTTTTCCCTTTAGTATCTGAAAATTAAGTTGAAAATAAGGAACAACAGGGATCACAATAGAGGATCCTGGACAGAGCCAGAGAAAAATGTAGAACAAAATTCTAACAAAAAAAAACCAGACTTACCCATCTGACAAGAGACTGGACAAATCCTGAGAGTATGGCCCCCAGACACCCTTTAAACTCAGTACTGAAGTCACTCCTGAGGTTCACCCTTCAGCCAAAGGTTAGACAGGTCCCTAAAACAAACAGTAATACACGTAGCTCAGCCACATATACGAGACTAAATGGACACACCAGCCCAGGGGCAAGAACAAGAAAACAGGAAGGGATAGGAAAGCTGTACGAATGGAAGTGGGAGACCCAAGATTGAGGAGAGGAGAGTGTTGACACGTCGTGGGGTTGGCAGCCAATGTCACAAAACAATATGTGTGTTAATTGTTGAATGAGAAACTAATTTACTCTGTAAACCTTCATCTAAAGCACAATTTAAAAAAAGAAAAGAAAAGGAACACACTTATTAAGCAACTTTCTTTTGACTAGGAGCATTGGGTTATTCTAGGAATAAGAAGAATTACTGTTTACTGAGTATAGGAATAACATATGCCTGCGTTACATATACTGCCATCCATTCCTCACCTTTGCTGTATCTATGACCCCAAACGATAACAACAAAAAAATAAAAAACAGAAACAGAACCCAAACCTGTTGCCATCAAGTTGATTCTGACTCATGGCAACCCCATATGTTATAGAGTAGAACTGCTCTATAGGGTTTTCTTGGCTTTTATTGTTTATGTGAAAGTTTACAATTCAAGTTAGTCTCTCATAACAAAAATTTGTACATACATTGTTTTGTGACCCTAATTGCTCTCCCTGTACTGTGACAGCACACTCCTCCTTTCCACCCCTGATTTCCCACGTCCATTCAACCAGCTCCTAACCCTCTCTGCCTTCTCATCTCACCTCCGGACAGAAGCTGCCCATTTAGTCTCATGCATCTACTTGAGCTAAGAAGCACAGTCTTCTCAAGTATCATTTTATGTCGTGTAGTCCAGTCCAATCTTTGTTTGAAGCGTTGGCCTCGGGAATTGTTTTAGTTCTGGGTTGACAGAGAGTCCAGGGGCCATGCTGTCTCTGGTTCCTGTAGTCTCAGTCAGACCATTAAGTCTGGTCTTTTTGCTAGAATTTGAGTTCTGCATCCCACCCTTCCTCCGTTCCATCTGGGACTCTCTGTTGTGTTCCCTGTCAGGGCGGTCATTGGTGGTAGCTGGGTACTGTCCACTTCTTCTGGTCTTAGGCTGATGAATTCTCTGGTGTATGTGGCCGCTTCTGTCTCTTGGGCTGATACTTTCCTTGTGTCTTTGGTATTCTTCATTCTCCTTTACTCCAGGTGGTTGGGACCAATTGATGCATCTTAGATGGCTGCTTGCTGACTTTTAAGACCCCAGACGCTGCTCACCAAAGTAGTATGCAGAACATTTTCTTAATAAACTTTGTTATGCTTGGCTATAATCTTTTTTTTTTTTTTTTAATTATACCCATGTGTATTATTCTTCAGCTTGGCTATAATCTTTACTGAAGCAGATTGCCGGGTCTTTCTTCTCCAGTGCTGCTGGTGGGGGTTCAAACCACCAACCTTTAGGTTAGTAGTCAACCACAAACCGTTTGTGCCACTCAGGGACTCTGTACCTATGACAGATGTAACTAATTGATCACACCACTCTTCTAGCTGAGCTTGGAAATAGCTCCATAATCCTTCCTAACACAGTGTTTTAGGAAGCAACTAGCAGTTTATCAGAAATGCATATGAAATGAGGTTATTACAATTAATGGTTATAGCAACCTTGTGAAGTTTGATAAATTATTGCTTTCATTTTCCAGATGGGAAAATTTAGCCTCAGAGAGTTTTAAGAAATCTCTCAATGTCACACAGCTAGGTGGAGCTAGGATTTAAATCCAGCCCTGGCTGGCTTAAAAATTCATTCTCTTTGTGCTATGCAACACTGGTATGTACATTTGGTCCTTGGTAAACCCTCATCCTACCCTTGGGATGAATGCCATTTCTGTTGTGATACCTATGATACTACTGTTAAAGGTAACCCTAAAATGTTAGTCATAGATTATCTACAAACATCCTGGATGTTTTCTTGATATCTATTCAACATATACTTTCTGACATGTTTCTTTTTTAAGAAATAATTTTATTCTGCATTTTTTTCAGATTAAAAAAAAATCTCTGCTCTCATTTTGCTTACCACATTTCATTTATTTTGTGTCCTTCTATAGTGACTAGCACAATGCATGTAATAGATATGTTCCTTGCAAAATTTTAACCTGCTGGTCTCATAAAATGGGTTGTGTTTACCTCTCTTCTATTTTGGAAGAATTTGTGTAGAATTGGTATTATTTATTCCACAAATGTAGGTACCTTGGGCTACTAGTTCTCTGATTTCTGGAAGGTGCTGCTTACCAGGGCTATGTAGCATCCTAACTCCTATATAATGGCAGGAGAAGTTCTTGTGCTTGGCGTAAGTGGTTAGAACTTTGTATTAATAACAACAGCAATTGTAGACTGCTTCAGTGTTGGGGTATCTTTTACATTCACAAAATTTTTTACATGTACACAGTGACCTAGAGCTTTTTGAAGATCATGTGAGCAAGTTAATTTCCTCAACACTTAAGTAAGAAAACTGAAGCTTGAAGAGATTAAGTGATTTGCTAAAAGTCACACAGTGATTGGTGGATTCAGGCTGTTAATTGTTCCATGGCTCAGAATATATTTATTATTCATTTCACTGATTCTAACCAGCTGTCTCAAAAAAATTGCAATTTTTCATGAAGGGATCAAATTGCAAGGTTATGGTTAGATTAATAGAGTAGTCTCTATATTAGGATTACAACACAATTATTGCTGGGTTCGTAATCTATAATTGATAGTATATATCCACACTTCTTACGTATAATTTAACAATTCTGAAATGCATATAGTAGTGTGGAATACAGTGCAGCCTGTTTTGTTTAGCATGTTTTTCTTTATTAATGAGGAGCAAAGGGATGTTTCTGAGCTGTATGGTAGCCTGGTTTCTGATCCATTATTAGTTCTTTCTTCAGTAGTTTTTCATGTCTAACTTCCAAAAGTTCTTTCACATCCAGTAATCTCGTTTCATCTTTATGACACCCATGTAGTATAGAGCAGGGAGTGCTTTCTGCTTTTGACTGATGAGGGAATTAAAACGTGGGGCCGTTAACAGGGATTAACTACTAAATGTATAGAGTGCTAGGTACTAGCGCTATAAAGATAAACAAGAGAAGGTTCCTTTTGTTAAAGAGCTCATTATGAAACAGTTAAAATTGGAGTTAGAATGCAGCTCACTTGATTTTTAGCCCAGTATCTTTTCAAATACTAGAACCATGTCGGAGCCCTGGTGGCGAAGTGTTTAAGACCTCAGGCTGCTAACCAAAATGCTGGTGGTTCAAATCTACCAGCCACTCTTTGGAAACCCTATGGGGCAGTTCTGCTTTGTCCTATAGGGTCACTATGAGTCGGAATCGACTCGACGGCACACAACAACAAGAACAGAACCATGTTGCCTCTTATTTTTTTCTTTTTTTATTGTACTTTAGATGAAGGTTTACAGAACAAATAGTTTCTCATTAAATAGTCAGTACACATATTGTTTTATGATATTGGTTAACAACCCCATGACATGTCAACACTCTCCCTTCTTGACCTTGGAGGACCTTTTTTTTTGGTGAAAATATACATGGCCAAAGTGACACCATTTCAGAAGTTTTTACATGTACAATTCAGTGACATTGATTACATTCTTCCCATTGTGCTGCTATTCTCACTATCCTTTTCCAAATTATTCCATCACCACTGTCTTCAACTCGCTGCCCCCAGGCTTCCCATCAAACCTTTTGAGTTGTTATTGTCAATTTGTTGCCTCTTATTTTTGAACAAACTACTTTAATGACCATCTTCATAAAGCTTATACTTTGAGAACTTTACTTTTATGCTAGACTTGTTTCTACTTGTTTGTTCCTACCCATCCTTTTTTCTATATTTTGTTCTAATTTTAAAAGTAGTATATGTTCTTTGTGGACAATTTGGAAAAATTTGAATAACACAGAGAAGAGAATAAAAATTTATGCACAATCCCACTGCTCATCTACAGCCATTGTTAACATTTCGATACATATAATTTTAATCTTTTTTCTCTAGGAATATATATGTA